ATTTTATTATTTTATTTTATTTTAGTTTGACCTGCTAATCATAGATCATAGTAAATCAACATGACATTTTTCAACCTTGGTGCAGCTCTATTTTCAGCTATTTATTCCACCCATCTAGCTCAATAAATCTTCATATTAAAAAAACACTTAACAGTGTCAATATCTTAATGACAGCCTTGAGAATTGCATCTGAGTTTTTAGGCAATTTGGCAACGTATGGTCAAGAAGGTACCACTTTATAAATTGTATAAAACAAACTTATTTTTAATTAACTTTAACTAAGAACAATTACTTAAAAAAATCTAATTAGTAACTGAAATGTAACACCTCTTTAATGTGACTTGTACAACACCGGAAACATAACCAGTCTTAAAGGAGTTATACAAACTAAACTTAAACAAACCCACAGTTTCTCATTTTAGACTGGAAAAACAACCCTGAGCACAGCAAAGCAACATTCAGAAATCATCATCACTGCTATCATGTTGGTTAGTGCATGCCTCACTGGCAGCTGCTACATTTTCAGAGTCTGTGTTGTCAGATAGATGTAATGTTTCTGACAAAATAGTTTCTAGATCCTCTACCTTCTTAGATGGTCCATCACATTTTTTTACATCACTGCTCACAGTCATGTGCTCATCACTTTCATTATGGACATTCACTGCTGCTCCTTGACTGGTTGTTGTCCTGTCTGTCGCATTATCGGTACATATCATTAATCCTACAACTTCTGCAGCATTTTCTCTCCTCTTCTCATTTTCCCTTTGTTTGGTTGGAGATGTAGCTCTTACAGGAGAGGTTGAGGGTGTAGAAACCGGTGAAGGATTATCACCATCTGACAATTTACAGTCATCAATGGGTGATGCATTGGTTATGCTTTCCTTCACATCTTTAGTCTTTGCTGGTTTAGACCCAGATACTAAAGTGGAGAATATAGAATCAAGAAAAGCGCTCCCATTTTTTAAATGGTCTTCACTTGAAGCAGATACATTGGATGGTTCCTCAAATTCTTTACGCAACACTTCCAGAAGGTAACGCATTTTACCCTAAAAACAAGCACAAAATAGTAAGCTTTACATTAGACTTGTTTTTGCACATTTGCTGTCATTCATTAGATTACACAGTTACCTCATCCAGCTGATGGAGATTCATATCAATGTGATGATTCATCACCCGGTCAAGCATCCTTTCAAAAAACAATGACATTTAGAAACATTTGCATACTCCACTACATCTTAGATACCCAAACCAGCAATCATATCCACTAATACTCATCGCAACAACCTGAGTTTGATAAAACATAAATGAGCACAAAGCTCAGTTGTGTCTTATCAAAATCCTATGTGCCTAACTTGTTTTGCAGTATATAATAATGATAAACTGCTCTTATGTCAATCAGCAGACAAAAATAACTTTCTTGAGTTTTGTAGTATTTTACATTTTTTATATAGACCTTTAACTTTAGGCATTTTTATCTTTTAAATTTTTATTGGTGCTTAAGGCACTGTAAGATAGGCTACCCTTTTCAGCTGGGCTATAAATATTATTGAGTATTTTCATGATTATTTTCACAATAATTATCATTATTACCTCCATGTCCATGGCTTTCAACCTCATCTTTCTCTAAAACTACCTAGAGAATGCACAATCTGCTCAATTTAAAAGGCAGAACCAAATGGGTTGGCACGTCTTAACATTTGCGCAGCTATCTTTGTAGATCACCCGCAACACGCTTACTTATTTTAAATTCTAAACAAGTGCCTCTTATTTAAAATCTTTGGAAAAAAGATACATTAACACTGAAAGCAACAGCATTGAAACATGGAGGTTGCATTTAAGTCAATATTGGGCAATTCTAGAAAAGAAGAAATGGCAGAGGCTGCAAAACACTGGAGAGCAGAGCAAATATTCAACAAGACTACAAACCTTAAAACACTTCCAGAGATAAAATGGAATGTTTAGATCAAACATTTATTTACTAGCACAGCCAGTCATTTTTAAATATAAAATCTGAAGTAGAACCTGTGTCAAGATAAAAATCAGGAGCCTAAATATTGTGTTTTCAAATACTTTCTGTCTGATCTCATAAAGCTAGTAGACCCATGCCTTATAAGACTATGCAGCTCTAAATGCATTGAAACATGGTTCTTCAAAGTACTACCTCAAAGGGGACTGATATAAATACATGGCATTTGAAATATATTGCAAACCATGGATCCATCTCTTCCAACAGACAGCTCTGCTCCTTTTTATGTTATTCTGTCATATACAGTCATAATAAAATATTTGATTCTAATGAGACCAAATCGTTTTGGGCATTGGGCCCATATCTGTGTAACATTTCAGCTGCTTTGCAAAAAATGAAATACTAAAAACCTGTCAGATATGTGGCCCCTGGACAGGATATCCTCTGTCACAGCAGAAATGAATTCAAGGTACAGGAGCTCTTCTTCTCTGTAGCCAAAGAAAAAAAAGATTAGATGTTTTTTTATATATATAATAAGCTACTTATTTTTTTGAAGTATTATTCTTTGCACATAATTGTAAACATTTTATTTTTTATATAGCTCTCACAGGTCTCTCAGAATACCAACTGGAACTTACTCTGCAGATATAAGGCTCCTAACAGGAGATTTCCATCCTGGAGAGACCCTGCTAAAGTAAGACACAATGTTATCTTGAATTTGAAGTCAACTGAACTTGATTACCATATGTAAAACAAAAGTTACATGTCAAACCATCTGTGCTGTCTCACCCGGATGAAGAGCCAACAAAATAATGATCCGCACTTTTAATTTTATGCTCCTGCAGTTGCGATGGGGATAGGTATGTATCAGTGACCTCATAATCAGACCACTCAGGCTCTGTAGAATATTCCTGTAAAAACATTTAACATGATGATAATCACAACCATTAAACCGCATTTGACTGTGAATTCATTCTAACAGAGGACTACAAGTTTAAATGTCGATGCTTTCTGTTCCCCAACAAAAATCTCCTACTTTCTTTGAGTCTCCCATTCTGGAATTTATTAGTTCCACCCATAGGTTTATGCTCTCTCTACTATTCTCGTTAAAGTAGCTTCATCTAGTCTGTTCCAGTTTGGCTGTGACACCATCCTGGAGAGTAGCATCAGCTTGGCTGCTGCCTGCACCTTAGATTATAGATGATACAGTTATCCCTGTTTATTTAGTTTTTAGTCTTGTTTCTCTCTAAGACATAGCTATAGCTCAACTTTTACCCTAACCAACTGAATGTGTTCTCTTTCATCCATTGACATGAATATTGGCTCAGAGCTCATCTGCTTAACTGTCTTTTTCCCAGAGAGAGTCCCTTGTGGAGCTAGTTTACCACTACCTTTTCAACCATAGAATGTGTTTATTGATCAGGGCTTCTATGTTTGTTTTATATATCTGCTTCTGTCTCCTTGAACCCCAGTTGGCCTCGGCAGATGGCTGCTTACACCGAGCCTGGTTCTGCAGGAGGTCTCTCCTCATTAAAATGGAGTTTTTCCTCTCCACTGTCGCTACACGTGTCATTGTGTCCTTGGGATTATTTTTGATCAATAAGTCGGTGCAATCAGCTGGTTTTCCTTAGATAGAAAACTTAGAACCAATTTGGCGTAATAATCTGGTTGAATTTTCTCTGTAAAGTCCCTTGAGATCATGTGTTGTGAATTGGCGTAATATAAATAAATAAACAGATTTTTTTTTTTTTTTTTTTTTTTTTTTTACATGAGGCCTTTGCAAGAGGGAAAAAATAGAAAAAGAAAAAGCACACCATCTTCACAACAAATGCAAAACCCAGTTTTAACCAGTTATAGCATCCCACTTCACTTGTTCTTCACCAGGAATAGAAATTAACTTTTCAACCTGAAAACATGGGATCTTTATAAAAGCTGTAGTTAGTTACCTCCATATCCAAACTGGATCTTTGTTCTTTGTTAATCTATATTAATCATAAAAGGTACTTTATATAGATCTTATATTTACAAAAATAAAAAAATTTTGGAAGAGTTTTTGGGCCTAAGACACAAAGAAAGAAGATAAGTTGAGCACATTTACACATTTACTCAGGTGCTGGTGTCTTTTGACCTTTAAATGTGTTCACTTCAGATCCATCACCCCCAGATCAAACAGTCAACTTATTTTCAGGGCTCTAAAGATCCTGGCTCCATGCTAAGGGATTCTTAACCCATTTGATGGGAGGATAGGATCAGAAAACATCTCAAGAATGCAGGATACTTTCCCTCAAGGCATAGAGCTTGAGACTCCTGTTTTATGGAGATTTCTTTGGAGTTACAAGATTGTAATTTAGATCAAATACTTTAGCCTACCTGAGATGGCTTATCTAGTCTTTCTGTGTATTCTTTTTCATTTGGGCTGAAATACAGAAAGAAAGAGAAAGATGAGCATTTTAGACAAAAAAGTAAATTTATAGAACCACTCAAAAAACTATTCATACATTTATTTACCGGTAATGACTTTTTTCCTACCTTTTGGTCCAACTACAACTGCAAACGTTAATGTATTTTACAATGTCATATGCCAACTCAAAGAAGTGCACAACTGTGAACTTTACTTTTGGAGACATAAATTCAAACCTCTAATTGTTTGGAGTGTTACAAAACAGCAGTTGATAAACTTAAAAACATGTACAAAGACAAAATTCTGAGAGATTATGAACAAATTCAAAACCTCTGAATGTAATCGCTGAACTGTAAGACGAATGATGCTGATTTTGTTTTGTGACCCGGGGAGGAGTTATGGCGGAATGATGTGAAATCTCATTGCTTATTTGATTTCTTAATTTTTCAGTTGTGTGTTTTAAGGAAAAGATAATACAAGATTTATCTCCCCTCTGTTCCTTTTTATTCATGTATGGAGAAAAAGATTGTGCAATGAAACATGAACAAATTAATTAATTAATTGATTAAATGAAATATAAAGGTCTTGAATATTGCCATTCTCAAATACATTACAATTTGCAGCATTCTTGATGTTGTTTATCAACATTCTCCTAGACTTTTGGACTGTGGGAGGAAGTTGGGAGCACCCGGAGAGAACCCACGCATGCACAGGGAGAACATGCAAACTCCATGCAAAAATACTCCAGCCCAGGAATCAAACCTTCTTGTTGCAAGGCACTGCAGCACTCTGCAGCCCATAAAGCTCTATAGTTATAGTAATTTTAAAAATGTGAAAATGTTTAAGTCATTACTAATTACAATATCTGAGTTTTTTTTTCTTATATAAAGTACCTTTTACAAGGTTTCTCCTCCCCCTGCAGTCTTGAGTTGCTCCTATCCTGACAAGATTTACTCTGCGGTGCTCTGTAGAAGCGATACTTTGACAGGTATGAACTTCTTTCTGACTTCAGAGTCTTGGGAGTGAATGGTTTTTCTGGAGTAAAATGCTGGGAATGTTTTTCAAGCAAGTCTCCGCTGTAGGTCTTCTTTACAGGGTCCTGGAAGGCCTTGTAGAACCCTTGATCTCTTGTAGCTAGCAGAGAACATGAGGACTGCTTCCTTTGAAAAGCTGTTTCAGGGCTTCGGTACCTCCTCTCTGATGATGGGCGGGCGTAATGGGAATTGGACGGATAAACAACATCCTTGGCATTAAAGGAGCTGTTGAATCTCGGGCTTGAGATGATGGAGCTCCTTGAGCAGAGGTAGGGGCGCTCACCATCCTGCATCCATTTAATCAAATATTGAGGAAAGGAAAGAATGTCATACAATGGTGTTAACAAACCTTACATGACTAAATCACAAGGATATTATTTGATCTCAAACCTGAGCTGAGAAGCAGGAAGTTGTGCAATCTCTGTCCAAAGAGGAGAAAGCTGAATGAGGACGACCATTTTTCCTCTGCTGTTCCTTTCTGATTTGGTCCTTGTCTGCAATTAAGATCGATCACCATTAACAAAAACCCACAAAAAACTAACAGGAAAATCCCCATCTGCCTTTTAATGGATTGCTTTATAAGATGAAATTGTACACAAAATTGAGTTTAATTTGTTATAACTTGAACTAATTCCAAACACTGAAAAAGAGGTGTGATTCCTTTAAGAAGGACACTGTAGTAGAAAAGCCAAGGCTTAGCTTTGAATCAGCTATTAGAGATTTCAAATAACACCATCATATCAGAATGCAAAAATAATGTGAATGGTTTTCTGATTTTTCTTAAATTATTCAGATATTAACAGTTTTCCGAAGGGCTTTGGCACAGTTTATATAACCACCATCCCAAAGACGTAGGATGGTTACAGGTTTATAATTAGATTTATTCTTTTTATTAGTCTATTGATTTAATTTAGAAATATCCCTGAGGCCCTATAACACATTTCTCTGCAGAGTAGTGTTTAATTTTACTGAGCTTTTACAATGGGCCCAGAGAAATTGCTGCCTTTTAGTTGGAAGAAATCTAACATGATTCAAGATTTAGATATTTATATTCTAAGTCTATGCAGTTTTAATAGAACAGATTATTGTCATTACAGTGCCACAAGTACAAAGCAATCAAACGTAGTTTGCATCTATCCAGAAGTGCTATACAAAATATAAATATTTATTTACATATGCACAGAGACTATGTATGTATTGACTATAAATGGTATATATAAGCAAAGTATATATAAGATAAGCCTAAATAAATATTTTTATAAGTTATGAACCAAGCTGATAATGAATTTCATTATTTAAACAACATTCTGACACATGGTTACAATTTTGCTAAAGAGAAAAACTATAATTATTTAGAAAATGTACCTTTTTTTAAATTTTAGCATGATGTAATAAAAGGCTACTTACATTTTACACTTTGCAACAGGCTTTTGGGTACTGAGGCATCGATAGCAGCTGCAAGTGAAAGAGACAACCATAGTTATTATAGTCAAATCAAATAAACCTGTTTAAGATGCCTACATCTGTGTGGGTAAGAACAGCAATGTAGATCAGAGGTAAACAGAAAGTGAATCCGGACATACTAGGACATAAATAATAAAAATGATCAAATTTGACTTCAGCAACCTAATGGGGAAAAAAATCCCAATTGAAAGTATTTGATAAATAGACAAGAAGCTAAAAGGGAAAAGCAACTTTTGGAAAAAAAATTCCAGCCCACAAAAAAACATCCTTGTTGAACTACCTTCATCTTAAATAAATTCCAAATCAGTATCTCACATCATGTGGAAGGGTTATTGATCACGTAGATAACCCAGGTTAGCACAGTTCTTTTAAGAACTTTGTCACCACTGGATTTCAAGCCTTTGGTCAGGACCATTCTGTCGTAGATTGCTGTATTTTTGAGTAAATATGACCCATATTGGACCAAGCTTCTGATCTCAGACAAATATCCTTACAATCACAGAGCAGTGTATGGTAGACTAAGTGAGCAAAAGAAGACAAGGTGCTGTGGCTGTAAAACAGGATCAAATCATCATGCTCCCATTGCCATGCTTAAAGGTTGGTTTGAAGTGTTTGCCCTGATATTCTGTGTTTGTTCATTTGCCAACCATGGTGTCATGTAGTAAACTTAACACCTCAACATTTTATTCCAGAGGTCCTTTGGCTCTAAATAACATTTCCATGCTAGTTTTTGAGAGAATATGCATCTGGAAAACCATTAAAGACTTGTGTGATATTTTGTAATTACACTGTCATGAACTAAAACATTCATCAGACCAAGTCCCGTAGAGTACGAGATAAAACTTTTGAGTTAAATATAATTTATCTCACCATCGCAGCCACTGATCAAGTGCCACATTAGCTTGGATGTCCTCTTCTAAAAAGACTTGCAGCTTTCTAAAATATTTTTACTTGTGAATAAGCTTTGTCATTGTATAGTGATTGTTTATAAATGTTATAATAACCCTTCTAGATTGATAGGTAGCGTCAATTTCTACTCTTATGTCATTGCTGGTGCATTTTCTCATTTGGAATGTTTTAAAGATGTATGCTGCAGTGTTGCTTTAATAAAGAGGTGGTCATGAGCTTTTCCTTTTTTGTTAAATATCAGGTAAGTATGTGATATTTTTAAGTAGAGATATAATTTAAATGTAAATACATTATAAAATCAAGCAAAGTAGTTCAATCTTTATTTTGTATGTCCTTATACATTATATCTCAAGATCCAGTGAACATATACTTCATTACTTGTTGACTGCATTTTTCAAATGAATCCTACCTTTAGCTGAGTAAATCTTTTTGTAATGAGACACCATGTGATCTTTAATGATGGACTGGGTCAGTTTGCTGGAGGATTGAGGGCAGAAAGCTAAAAAAAAAAACAAAAAAAACACAAGCAATTAAAAATATAAAAAGATCACTTACATTTGTCAGGTTAAAGGGATGAATGGATGGTCAAATCATAACTGCATCAAATTTAAATTAGTTGGGACTCAATGGCTCTTACATTATGAAATATAAAGACAATATCTTCCTAAACCTCTGCAGGTTTACTTACAGCTAGTTTTTAATGTATGCCTTTTCCCTCCAGAGCTGCTCTCCAATCCGGATAAAACACTTCCTAAAACAACAAAAGATTGAAAAGAAATTTCCAAAGATAAGTGAATATCTTCATGATTCTGTTTCAGAGTAGCATAAATCTACTGTAACAATTGAATTATCTTCTTAGGTAATAACGAAGTAATATATCATATGGTCTACTAAATACTAGGTACTGTGTTTTGATATAGTGAGAAAGGGTTAACTAAAGCACGGTGATACATATAAAGTTTATTCATCCAAATTTCGTCAATCAAATATCAAATGAAGAACTAATAAAATGATTTCAGCTTTTTTTTTTGTTTTTTATCATTAACGATCCGACCGAAGCTGCGCCCCGCTATACAGAGCTACTCGATGCTAATATTTTCTGACCTGTTCTCGATCCCATTGAAGGTTTTAATTTAGCGATTCCCATTCTATTCAGAAATTTTCCAAAGGATTAAAGACAGAGGTCCAGAGGCCTCGGCTTGTTCAAATGCCAGCATTCTAATACGGCAAAACTAAGCTTGTTACCAACGAGCTTCGACAAATGCCGGGCAACGCTTTACCGTCGCCATGCTGGTTGCTAGGAATGTGTCGTCATCACGTTTGTGCGTAAAGAGACTATTGAGGGATGCGAACGGTGAACGTTTCTCAAATTACCATAGTT